TTCCCTTCAGAAAAACATAAATATGTTGAATAATTTACACTGATGTTTCACTTTTTTGAGTGTAGGACTGTTCCTGTGTCCAGCAGGACTCAACAACAACAACAACAACAACAACAACAACAACATGACACTACTTCTGTGAGTCCCGAGTGGTGAGGAGATGACGGGCGGTCGTCAGTGATGCATCACAGCCTGTCTTTGGGGAGTTTGACTTGTTAGTTAGAGGTACAGCTTGTGTGGACGTCCCGTGGCCTCAGATCGATTTTATCCTTCAGTGTAGCTCTGCTCAGCGAAGACGTGATTCGATTGTTATTTATGTTGTTGTGGAGCACCTTGTTGTTTAATCCACCTCAGTGTTGTGGTTAAATTAATCTTGAGATAAAGAGATAGGACAGTTTATTAAAGAAACTAGAAGAAGATGTTGAAATTTGCACACTTTCAAGGAGTTTATTGTAAATATTTTTTGTGTATTTTCAGGATTTTTGGACTAAAGCTGCAAATAATCAATATGTATCAGCAAATCAATGATTCACCGGCTGTTTTTAGAACCAATTTGAGTCATTTTTTAAAGGAATAATAACACTGGTCTACACCTATTTTGGTGTCAAAGTCTTTTGAGCTGATTTTGGACACTTGCAATGAGCTGAATCCAAATATTACGCTGGTTTTGCTCAATGAGGTCAAACTTTTGACTTGAATGAAACATGCAATTTACTTGTATTTACCTTTAGAAATGTTTACACTCATCAGCTTTTGGATCATTTCGCTCATGAAAAGGATTAGAAAATGAAATGTTTCCTCTAAAATCCGACTTCATATGAGAAATACTAAAATAAATCAATCGCTAATGTCAAAAATGTCATCGATTTAGTGGTAAAATCTTTTTTTTTTAATCAAGTTGGCATAAAAACGTGACCTGATGCAGAAAATCAGACGTCATTTTTTAATTCAGTGTCGCAAAAATGTCCCAAATCAGTTTAAAAAATCCTCGACACCATTAAAAAAGGGTTTTTTTGTAACCCAGTGTAATGATTCAGTTGCTTAAATTTGAATATTTCCTGTTTTTTGGGGGTTTTTTTGTTCCTCTGTGACAAATCCAGACATTTGATGCTGTCATCTTGAGCTTTCGGGGGCACTGATGGGCATTTAGTCAGCATCTAGTGACTCATTAAACCAAACAACTTATCGATTAATTGAGAAAATAACCGACGGATCAATCAGCATTGAAGCTGCTGCACATCTAACAAATACCTTAACTCGTGCTTCTTTGAATGTTTGTTATTGCACCAAAAACTACAATTTTTAACTAAACATTTCCAGAGAATTCAGTGGATTTACATAATCAGTCATATCTGATTCAAACGGGAGGACATCTTCCTCATCTTCAGAGATGAGTCACCGATACTCCCCCCAACTGCTATTAAAACGTCCAAACAGTCAGAAGAAAGTATTTCTCCAGAACGAAACCCGCGGCCACGCATTTCGTTCGGACACGTCGCCGCCGCCTGCGTCACATCCTCGCGCGCTCAAAGCAGAAGTGAGAAGCAATAGGAAGAGATTAACGGACGGGCAGATGAAAACAAGAGAGAGAGACGCTTGGAAATAAAGAGGGGAGGGAACCGAGAGGAGTTTAAAACAGGTCAGAAAGTGCTTTGGGGAACTGTTTGGCTAGTGTGTCAGTGAGAAGACAAACAGTGGAGGGATGAAGGAGGAGGAGGGGAAGATGGAGGGATGGTGTGATGGCTGAGGAGGAGGAGGAGGAGGAAGAAGAAGAAGAGGAGGAGGATCTCTTTCTTCCTCTCTGTCCCTCTCCCTCTCTGTAAACAGAGCAGAGCAGTGGAGGGGAGTTGAATCTCCTCCATAGTGGAATGTCTGGTATGGCTACTAAGGCAGAGGGGGGAGGGGAGTGTGTGTGTGTGTTTAAGTGTGTGTGTGTGTGTGTGTGTGTGTGTATGTGTGTGTTTAAGTGTGTTAGGTTAGAGGTTAGAGGAGGCAGAGTGGGAGCGATGGGGAGGAGTCGTGGATGCTCCTGATTTCTTAGTCTGAGGGGTCAGGAGCTCAAAATATATCACAGCCCGCCTGGAAAACCCGACAACAGGCCTGAGAATGAGGCTCGAGTCCGATCATCTGGGACGCAGCTCTGCTCTGATGAAATGATTAGCAATTAGAATCTGACCAAGCGTCGTGTGAATGAAAGTGGCCGAGATCCACCTTCGTCTCTTTATGATCAACTTCCACAGCCAAAAAAAAAAAAAAAAAAACTCATCAGTGTGATTTTGGGATAAGTGAGGGTCCAGTTAAAAAGTACAGAGCAGCTAGAACTCCATTATGTTTAATCACGCTTTACGGCCGACGTTTCATCACTTCAAAACCACACTCACGAGCATTAAATTAGGAAACGTATTAAAATGATAGAATAGTGAATAAAGCCCAACCAAAATCACATTTAGAAGAATTAATGGCGCTCTGATGGATGAATGCCAACACCGGGGGCACCAAACCAAACCAGAGAGGATGAAATATTCATTTATCCGCCTTTTTTTTTTTTTTTTTTTTGGTTTTCAGATGTTTTTTTTTGACAGAATGTGCCACGAGTCGTTTGCACAAATGTTTTTTTTTAAAAAAAACAAAAAGAAGAAGAAATTTTCCTACAACTTGCGGCCAACTGAGCTGCGGTGATCGAGGTAGACGGTTTTAATGGATTGTTCCCATTTTTCATTATGCTTCCAATCTGCAGCTCAAACCAGACGCAGCATCTTTGCAGAGATGTGTCGCTAATCGCACACAAAATGAATCTTTCTTCCTTTTCTCCTACAACCCGTGTAAGAGCTAGACGAAAAATACACGACATAAAAACATTGAATTTAGCTAGGCACATTGCTAAAACTAGCCCCAACCAAACTTAGAACAAAGTGACAATTAGACACAATTAAAGTTTTACCTTGTTGCCCTCTTCTTCATTAATCTCTCCCGTTCGCCCTTTTATCTTTTGTTTTGTCTCTTAACTTTACGTCACTTTACCGTTACATTTTTTCAGTTTCCCTATTTTCCGTATTAGTGGGATTAAAATAAAGCAGGTTAATTGTTCAATATAAGGACACTGCCAGCAACCAGTTAGCGTAGCTTAGCATAAAATGTGGAGGGAACAGCTAGCTTGGTTTTGTCCAAAGGTAACAAAATGTGCCACAGAATTGAATGTTTAATATCAAAATGTTTGTTTAGTCCTAGAAAAATTGAAGCGTACCAACTTGGACGAAGCCAAGCTAGCTGTTTCCCCGTTAACACTGGTTGTGCTAACCAAAGTGAACCGCTTTCAGGCTTTGTTTACAACACAGACATGAGAATCATTCTGATTTTCTAATCTAATCTAAATCTGACAAATGATTAACCCTGTTCAGGACTTTCATGTTGCCAGAAGGTCTTTCAGGGTCCATTGGACTCCAAGAAAGAATACGTGGAAAAGATTTGTTGGTATTCATTATAGACTTTTATACTATCATCCATCCATTATCTATACACCGCTTAATCCTCACTAGGGTCATGGGGGGCTGGAGTCCAGCTGACTCAGGGTGAAGGCAGGTTCACCTGGACAGGTAACCAGTCTATCACAAGGCTACACTTAGAGACAGACAACCAAGCACACTCACATTCACACTTACAGACAATTTAGAATCACCGATTAACCTCAACATGTGTTTGGACTGTGGGAGGAAGCCGGAGAACCCGGAGAGAACCCACACTGCACGGGGAGAACATGCAAACTCCACGCAGAAAGATCCCGGGCGTCCTAGCTGTGACAATGCTACCAACTGCGCCACCTTGTAGCCCTAATTCATTAACTAATGAATTAGAATGATAATAACAACGTTCAATAACTCCTGAATGAGTACCATTTGGAGTTACTTACACTTCTGTTACCCCACGACCGGCAGCTTTGTACTGTGAATACATTCAGGCTTCGCTACAGAGATCCAGATTGGCAGGAGGAGAAGGAGTGTGTTAGATTGCGGAGCCGAGTCACTTGTACCGATCGATGATCTCCGATTGACACAACCTAATGACGTTAGTGTGTCAATAAGTGGTGATGGTGGGGAGGGTTCAGTCAGGCAAGCTGCTGCTTACAGTTTTTATGCTAAGCTAAGCTAACCAGCTGCTAGCAGAAGCTTCACAGGAAAGCAAATCAGCACGATACGTGGAGCTATTTTTTTTTCACCCGTTGTTGGTATGAAGCGGTGTTGTGTTGCAGAATGCATGCAGGTATCGTTTCATGCTCATTTTGATGCATCACACTGAAAATAAAAAGGGAATGGAACCGGCAAAATGCACAAAAACAGTTTTTGACTTTTTTTTTGTAGAATTGATGCATGTAATGTGAGATAAGAACACTTTTGCCACATAAGTTGTGACGCAGACGTTTAACTCATGACCGATCAGCTGTTTCGTCTCCAGACAGCATGACTAATAGCGGCTGACATTAAAAAATAATTACAATTTTCCTGAATGAAAGCAGTTTCTGAAGAAATCTCCCCATTGTTCTCCCATAAATACTTCGTCTTTGAGTCTTTTGGCAGTTTGCAAACCGCAACGAGCATTGTTTCCGTCCTGTTTTTGTTTTAGCCACACCGCTACCTATTGGCAACACCACACAGCCAGTGATTTTTTATTCTTGTTGCCTTAAAGCAGTCGCTGGAAACAAAACAGATGTGCATTTTCTTTTCTTTTTTTTGCAACTTTTCAAACATTTGCTTCACAGTTATATGGAAACTATAAATCCACAGTTCTGCAGAAATTCACAGAAAACAGAAGCTAATGGCTAACTAATAGCTAACAGACGAGCGCAGGTTGTGTCCAAAACATACGCAGCCTGAGCCAACTTTGACCCATCTCTTCTCCAGACTAAATGCCATTTGATCGGATATCAGAAGTAAGGGGCTAAATGGCAAAAGCAAACATGGAGTCAAACTAAAGCGTCTAAATATAAACCTCCTGTCCTCCTGCAGCTATAGAGACCGAGAGCACGAGTTCAGGGGAAGACCTGCTGGTCCCCAGCCCTCCTTCACCTCCACCTCCACCTCGTGTCTACAAGCCCTGCTTCGTATGTCAGGACAAATCTTCAGGATACCACTATGGAGTCAGCGCCTGTGAAGGCTGTAAGGTAGGCAGCTCAATGTACACAAACACACACTGTTACAACACTTATCCTGGGTAACTGGGCCACATTCGCGCACAGATCCAGGCTGCAGCTGTAAAACCTTGAATGAAATAGCAACAGAGAGCGTGCGGCGACCAGGGATTTGCATAATGTGTCCGTGAAGAGGTCGCGACCTTTATAGCACCCCAAGGATCTGTAAGCCTCTTTGCTTCATCTAATCCCACACACGCAACAAAGAATCTGCGCCTGCAATTAATATCTGCTTTGATATCAGTGTGTGGGGTTTTTTTTTTTAACGTGCTTATGGTCAAGCTCGTGTTGTGTCGCAGAGTGCAGCGACCCCCTACCAGCTGCACATCAACAGAATTAATCGCCCTTAATACATTTTATGTAGTTGAGCGGTGGGTCTAACTCCAAGGTCGTCCCCGTTTTCCAAAAAAAACAAACAACCCCCGCACATGCTCCCAGTGTTGTGTTGTATTCTGTGCTTCTGTGTGTCAACCGCTGCCTCCATTTCTGTCCGTCAGGGCTTCTTTCGGAGGAGCATCCAGAAGAACATGGTGTACACGTGCCACCGAGACAAAGTCTGCGTCATAAACAAAGTCACAAGGAACCGGTGTCAGTCCTGTCGGCTGCAGAAATGCCTCGACGTCGGCATGTCGAAAGAGTGTGAGTACAGAGGAAAGGATGAGGGGGCGCTTTCAAAAGGTTTTAAGTTGTACTGATAAAACGGAGCACTTCAGGTGTATCGTCAGTGTTTTAACCTCGATGTCTGGCTCCCTCTGGTGGTCATTCACGGTTAAAACATGCCCCAAAAGCTCCTGCATCAGTGTCCCATCTGCTTTTTGACATCTTTAAACTGCACTCCAGAGACTTAGTGTCATGTTTCCATAAAGCTGATGCAGCAGAGGCGAAGGTGTCTCGATATTTAGCCTGTGTGGATGAGTCAAGCTCCTAAAATGCAGGATCTTTCCTTTCCCAGCCAATTACACCTTCCCATTTCTGGTAAATGGATGCCCAAATCACTAATTGTTTACTTTGTAGAGCCTTAAAAAATTCCCATAAGTCCATAAAAACACTGCTCTTTCGCTAGCAGCCCCCTTAACGTAATGTTTCAGCGATGACGTACAGCGGTCGTGATTCACGAGTGTCTGAAATGTCGATTTATTAGTCACGATACAGTGAAGCATTGTCTGCTGTGAAGGGAGTGCTGAGCAAGAGAACAAAAGAGGGACTCCGGACACACCTTACGTCTTTCAGCCTGAGTTTGTAATCCAGGCTTCCTGTTACAAATTCGTAATCACCGAGCCCAAACTTAGATAAGCCACTGACATCATGAGAAGATATTGTGTCTGGCTTGTCATTATGCAGGTTTCAAAGGCTGAACAATGCGTACGATAAGTGGGGTGGTCCTCTTGGTTTGAGGTTGAAATGAGTCATTCAACATTTTGTAAAATAAACTGATAGCACTCTCACCTCTTCGTTCACTCATGATATGTGTTAGCATACAGACAGGAAACAAGTGGCTTTGCTCTGTTCAAAGGTGACGCTGTCGGCCTACAGGCACCTCCAGAGCTGTTTGTTTAATCAGGTCTCATCATAACAGCGCAGTTACGTAGCAACCAGCAGAAACTTCAGGAAGTCCGAGCTTCTGGCCAAAAATAAACCCTGGACAGACCCAGATGGAAGACCGCGTCGTGATGATTTTGCTTGGATTAAACAAATGAGATGTTGCAGATTGTGCTCCCTTTGGAAAGCACCCCTAGTGACCCAATTTGCAATGTGCACCCTGCTGTTTTCAGTATGAGATCAATTCTTCCTGTGTTCATTTGAACTAACTTCACAAATGAAAACAATCACCATGCATGCATCTGCAATTATGTGAACCTCACACTAGCTGTTGCACATCTTTGCACTGAGCTAAGTCGTATATTTATTATATTAACAATCAGATATCGTGGCATCGTCAGTTATCTCATCGAAAACTGTGAAAGAAAGTATATTGTCATGACCCGGCTCCAGGAAGGACAAAGAGGAGAGGACCACACATGATCAGAGAAACTTACATTCATTTTAACCAAACATAATTCACCCAAACAAGCTAAATATCTGGGTCAGTACTATCAGGACTGTGTAGAAAACACAAAGATCCATACAACTTGATGGAAATCCAGCCCCAGAGAGAGAGAGTTAGCACAGGTGTCGGCTATCAGCTGATGGACTTCCTGTTCTTCTAAGGGAGCCTGAACTCCAGCCAACCGAGACAGCCCCAAACAGGAAGTTCAGGGGCTGTCACAATATTTCCTATTGATATCACTGGGTTACAAAAAAAATACTTTTTTGAAGGTGTCTAGGATTTTTTTTAAACTGATTTAGGACATTTTTTGCAACACTGAATCCAAACATGACATCTGCTTTTCTGTATCAGGTCAGATTTTTATGCCAACTTGATTTTACCACTAAATCGATTACATTTTTGGACATTAGCGCTTGATTTATTTTAGTAATTCTCATGTGAAATCAGATTTCAGAGGAAAATGTTCATTTTCTAATCCTTTTCATGAGCTAAATGATCCAAACGTTGAGCGTAAACGTTTGTAAAGGTAAATACAAGTAAATTGCATGTTTCATCAAATCAAAATTTTGACCTCATTGAGCAAAACCAATGTCATATTTAGATTCAGCTCATTGCAACTGTCCAAAATCAGCTCAAAAAACTTTGACAGTGTAATAAAGTGTTGCTACAGCTCTAGAAAAGCCCAGACAGACTATTAACAACCACTTTCTGAGGGACTTCTGGATTGCATCCCATTTGAAGTTACTCCTGTGGTGGTCCAGGTCACCAGCACCCAATACGACCGCAATAATAAACATGAAGTCACCTTTTAGCAATGTTAACAAAAGACAACAACGTTAGAAGCTTCATAAACGTACAATTGAAGACAGAGCTGTTGCATTGGATTTAGTTGTTATTATGTATAACAGGAGTACGATTTAAGATGTGGAATTACCAGAATGAAAAACTATGATTCCCAAGAGCTAAATCCTCTGTCTTGACTCCCACCAACAGTGGTGCGCAATGACAGAACAAAGAAGAAGAAGGAGGAGAAGAGGCAGGTGGACACAGAGATCTACGTCCTGTCAGCAGACACGGAGCAGATGATCGAACGAGTCCGTCGAGCCCATCAGGACACCTTCCCGTCCCTCTGTCAGCTGGGAAAGTACACCACGGTACCAAGCAGAGTTTTACTTTTTTCCCAAAATCCAGATTAAGAGGGCTCACCATTTCAAACTATTTCAAGGTGTGCTCCGTAGTGTTCTTGAAAGGTTTGTTCCTTCCCCTCCCAACCTGCAGAACAACAGCGCCGAGCACCGCGTCGCTCTGGACGTCAGCCTCTGGGACAAGTTCAGCGAACTGTCCACCAAATGCATCATCAAGACGGTGGAGTTCGCCAAGCAGCTTCCCGGCTTCACCACGTTAACCATCGCCGATCAGATCACGCTGCTCAAAGCCGCCTGCCTCGACATACTGGTGAGTTTCTCTTGCACGGGTCAAACTAAACAAAGACGAACTTCCCGCGTATAGTTCAACTCAAGCTGTATCTTTCCTTGTTTTGGCCGCTCATCCTAGATTCTGAGGATCTGCACCCGCTACACCCCAGACCAGGACACCATGACCTTCTCCGACGGCTTGACCCTGAACCGCACCCAGATGCACAACGCCGGGTTCGGACCGCTCACAGACCTTGTTTTCTCCTTCGCCAACCAGCTGCTGCCGCTGGAAATGGACGATGCGGAGACGGGACTGCTCAGCGCCATCTGCCTGCTCTGTGGAGGTACTGCATTCAAACTGAGGGGATGAGCTTCCCTTTTTATGTCTGTGTGTGTGTGTGTAAAACAATGTGGGTTTTTTTGTTGTGTTTCCGTGCAGATCGTCAGGATCTAGAGGAGTCAGAGAAGGTGGATGTTCTTCAGGAGCCAATGCTTGAAGCCTTGAAGGTTTGACATGAGTTTCTTACACTACTTAGCCCGCGGTAATCAAAACAAAGAGGTTTATTGAAACAGAAAAATAGTAAATATAGGTGTCATGTGAGAGTGCTCTGCCTGTGGCTTTCTGTTTTTTGGTTTGTTTCTACTGAAGCTTTAAAAATAGATTGTTTAATTAATTCACACTCTATTTGGAGCAGCAGGACAGTGTGTTTGTTGAGGGTAATGAAAGAAAAAAAACAAAACACCAGTGCAGCAGTAACTCATTGATGTGTTTCAATAGTTTGTGGACAACAGTGGTGCTTTATGAGAAATGAGGCTTTGAATGGAGACGCAATATAGTAAATTAAACAATCTATGAATCGTTGTTGTTGTAGGATTTGTTAGCAATAAAACTATAGAATGTTACATAAATGTATTGCACAGACTGTATAACCGCTACCCTGTTAATAAGCACAGTACACAGTGTACATTATCCATATTTATATCATACACGTCTATATATTGTCACTGCATGTGCACGTCTGGTTAGCTGCTACCTGGACTTTGTTGAAAATGTAGTTTTTTAGTTTCAGACTAAATTCCAGCACAGTGCTGCCCACTAAATGTCACACCGCTTTATAGAATATCGAAGTCCTGAATCACTTCCTGTATAACCTGTAGTAAAACAGCCCGTTTAGTGTCATAGAATAATGTCATAATTCAGGTTTCTGTCATAACAAAATCACCGAAATTGATTCCAGGAATAACTTTTGCCCATTGAGAGTCACAGCCGGCCGATCGTTGCGGCTCACGGGCCGAGCGTCGGTCATGCGTGGCAGATTATCAACGTGTTTGTTTGTTTGTCAGTGACCTGCTCACCTGAGATCTGCTTCACTGAGTTATTCACACACTGTTAGGGCACAACAAAGAGAATCACGCTGTATTATTATTAGTAGTAATAGTGGCAATTAAATGCACAGAAATGCCTTTTGAACAACCATAACAGATTTCTCAACACGATTTCAACAGCATCACATACTCATAGTTCGTAACATCTGACTGTTGTTAACAGCTGACCCTTCTCCTTTAAGAACGTGGCCTCGTGGGTAATCTGTGTTTGACTTAGACCCTTAATGTAGGTGGTGAGTGTCTATCTCACACTTATAAAGCACAGCTTCATCATCTGTGTGAAGTATAAAACAGATGTGACACGTAAACATCCATCCATCCATTATCTATACACCACTTAATCCTCACTGGGGTCACAGGGGGGCTGGAGTCTATCCCAGCTGACTCATGTTTTAGATGTTTCCCTTCTTCCAACACACCTGATTCAAATGATCAGCTCATCATCAAGCTCTGCAGAAGCCTGATAATGATCCTGATCATGTGAATCAGGTGTGTTGGAAGAGGGAAACATCTAAAACATGCTGGATAGGGGCTCTCGAGGACCAGGATTGGGCACCCCTGGTCTAGACCCTCATTAAATGAATCCATTTTGTCATGTTCTATCAAAGTCGCCCCTAGGCGTAGGCAGTATAGGCAAATGCTAAGGACGCCGACATCCACCGGGGGCGCCACATGCGGAGGAGGGGAAGTGGCCGGAATGCACCATAGGCAATATTTGGCTGCAGATTTCAGATTGTTTTATACATTATGAAGAGAGCAAAA